ACCCCAAATCTCTAAACCCTAAACCCTATAAACCCTTAGAAAACCGCCAGGGCCCGAGCTGTCTCGAGCTTCCCGACAGTCAGCTGTCCGTCTTTCAGGAGGATGTGGAGAGGGCCCTGACCAGAAAGGGTCGTAATATGCACTATGATATACTATAATATACTATCATATGCCATCACAAGCTATAATATATACTATCAAGGGCTCATCATAAATATCAGCCCTGGCCAAAGAGGATTCAGAGGGCTCGGACCTATAAGCAGAGGTCTGGTCCAAAATCTAAGCCCTAAAGCGCCCGAACCATTGGCTTTCTTGGGGGGTTTAGAGTCAGAACATAGCTTGCCTATTCAGGCGTAGGGCACCGCCTACCCCCCAACCTAGGATAAAATCTATCTTGGGTTGGGGGATGAGCGCTGAAGCCGAGTCTTGAATCTGTGGAGCCTTGCTTCGCAAGGCCAGCTCTGGAAGTCGGGTGATATTGGGGCCTTGATAAGCAGAAAAAAAGGTTTGGCTTGTAGATCAGGTGTTTAGGGGTTTAGCATTCAAAGGTTTAGCAGGTATAGGGCTTTGCGTTCAGGGTTTTGCGGGTGAGGATGAGGTTCAGGCTTCGGACTCAGGGGTTCAAGGCTGATTCCTGGCTTAGAACATGACCCGACATCCAAAGACCGGCTGCCTTGCTCTTGTCCTTGACCACCGACGGAAGCGAAGTCTTCGCCTTCGATCAGTAGCTAAATTGTTTGGCTCGGTGCTTCCTGCTGGAAGGTGGGGCGGCCTGATGATTAGAATGTGGTTTGGGGGCTATTTGTCAGCATATTAGCAGATGCCGATGTTCACCCGGCTCATGCTGGAAGCTGTAGACTTTAGTTCGGCACGGCTGGGATTGCGTCTGCAAGCTTTCACAGCTTGAGAACTAAGACCCATGTCCATGCAAGCAAAAAGAATATCCAGACAGCCCTCAACACCGACGTTTCCCCCTGCAGCGCCTTTCAATTCTGCCCTCACCCCCAAGAGCCCAGCCCGCAAAATCCCCAGCTTTCAGGTCTCAAGCCTCAAACCCAGGTGACCCAGGTTTAACAAGTTTCCGAAAGCACAGCTCCGCTTGAGCCCCGAAGCAAACTCCGAGTATCCCTGTGCCTCTGCTGTGGCGCTTTTCCAGAGATCCTCCCATCGATCCTGCTCGTTGCACAGAGAGATCTCAGAGCTCGCATCATGACGATCAAGACTATGCAAGCATGAATTCAAGCACTGGGCTGTCGGTCTAGGTATGAAACCCGAACCCTAACCTCCTCTTCCTTGCGCATCGCAAGCCCCAAGTCTGACAAAGGCCTCCTTGATTGCCGCCATGGCCATGCGAATCTCGGCAATGTACAATGCGCCTGGACAGAAGCGGGTTTAGGGAACCCTAAACGCCCTAAACACCAAGCCCCCGAACCCAAACGGTCTTGGCTTCGGGTTTTCAACGAAGCTCGTCTACCGATATTATCCGAAACCGACGGAGCTTGAAGTTTACCTGTGGTCTCTGCTCGGTGCCTTGGTTCACCTAGAATAGACCCCAACAATGTAATCTACAAAGGGGACTGCAGTGTTAGTGTGGGTTATAGGTGGGACCCATCTTATAGGAACTCTCAGGGTTCAAAGCTTCGGGTCAGGTTTTGGGTTTATAGTTCAGGGAGGGTTTGGAGTTCTGGGTTTAAGAACACCCTCGATGCGGGACTTGTGGAACCAAGGGTTCAAGTCAAAACTCAACTGAGAACGTTCGTTGCCAACGCCCCCCAAACTAACAAGGCACCAGAATGTAAACCCTGATTTTGAATCCTACCACGTGGGTTTTCCTCAGGCTGCCACCGAGGGCAGTAGGCACGGAGTGCGGTGTCATTCCTTTCGCTGAGCTCTGGGACTTCACTGCTTTGGTGAGTTTCTGGATTTGGAGTTGAGATGGACTCTACCTCAGGAACCCATACGGGAGTTCCTTTAAAGGGTATGTCCAAGATTTATTTGCATGATGCTGACTTCTCAGCAAGCTTTGCGAAGATGACCTGATAGGCCTAGACCCGGAACCGAAGGAGGCAAGATGAGCACTTTCCGGTCCTTTACAGCTGGCATTGACCTGCGAAGGGCACTGCTATGGGTTCGACGGTGGTTGAGAGGGTTTCTGCAGCTGCTTATAGAGCTTGCATCGGAAGGTCTTTTTATAAGGGCATCGCCAAAGGTTCATGTCAATGTGGTATGTAAAGGCCTAACCTAGACCCCTGCTTCATGCACCCAGTGTCGTTAAGGTTGCTCAGAGAGGGGGAACATAGCGGGTTATAAACGTCTATAGCCGAGGATCAAGATACCTTGCGCTTCATCCAAACACCTAAACCCAAAGTCAACCGGGCCAGTAAATCCTAGCAAAACTAAGTTCGCCACCTGAGGAGGAAGACGACAACGCCCTAAAATAAATGCCAACTGGGCATGATGCTCTGAAAGATGGCCCCCTTTTTCCGCCTTGCCGTGCATGCTGGCAGCCTGTAAGGACCAAACGCACCTCAAGAGAACCTGTGGCTGAACAGAGTTTGTACGTACGCACGCATTAAAACTTTATGGGGCTTTTTTCTCTCCATGGGACCAAAGAGACTTCCCAGCTCTAACCCTCACAGATCCGAGGTGTGAGTGAAGATGGGGGACGGCCACCTCGCTGCCCCCGTTCTTCTGAGGAGCAGATGTGGTCCTTAAGGAGCCCTGTTGTTCACAGGCGAAGCGCTGGCATCTTTCGGACACCGGACAAGAAAACCCTTCGAACGCAGAGAGTTCGGGGATGTTGAAGGGTTCTATAAACAGGGCTTAGGTTTTTTTAAGTGTGACGGACGTTTTTACTGCCCATCCCCCCGTTAGGGTTTAATTAGAGTGCAGGGCTTAGGGTTTAGGGGATAAGGGCCACTGTACAGCCTGGGCTAGGGCCTCCGTGGCCTCAGACTAAACTCAACAAACCGCAAAACCCCTAAGACGCCAGCTCCAAAGCCGAAAAAAGCCATCAGCACCAACCCCCCAAACCACACATAAACCCTAAAAGCTTAAACTGAAACGAGGATCAAAGCCACCAAAATTGAAAATTTCTAAACGAATCCATATCAAACCCCGAAGTCATAGCATTCACATTCAGAAACCCAAATAAAATTGAATTGATACTCAGAAGCGTTTGCGGAACCAGGGTTTTCTGCATCGGGTTCCTACATTTCGCGCCAGCCAAGACCGGCATCATGAACCTGCAGTGGCACAAGTTCGAGGTCTTCGGACCTTCTGGGATTTGTGGGAGGAAGGTCTTGGGGCTCTGAGGCCTTTTGAAGCTTCGGGTTTCGGGCATTGGGGTTCAGAGTTCGAGTTCAAGGACTGTGGCAAGAAGGCCGAGAGGCCCGAGCCTTGTACAAACCCGCAGGGCGAAGAGAATTCACACTAAGCCAACCCCGGCAAGAAAGGAGTAGTAGATCCAATGCGAGGCGTCGGGCTTAGGTGCATCCTTCTTGTCTAATTCGGTTTCGGTGGGTCGGCTGGAGCCTTGCGTCCCGAGTTCAGGCTCCACCTGAATTCCGGAACCGAAAACACAACCACGCCTAATTGCTCCCAAAGCCCCCGGAACCCGAACCCTTCGAAAACATCACATCTTGGTGCTGCTAAGGTCCTTAAGCCCACGCACCGACCCTCGCTTCATCTAGCACAGCTTGCAAAGCGACAGAAAAGCACCAACAAGCCACAAGCGGCAACACCAATCACCCTGAAACGGCATCAAGCCCCACCCCCGCACCCCTGCGAAAGCATGTTGAACCGAGCCCTGCCTGGGCTTACCGATCATGTCGCTTTTGGTGCTGGCAATGACGCAAGGAGGCTTGCAATCCTCTCAAGCTAGGTGGCCCGACAAAGTGGGCACGACAATTCTGGGTCCGGGACGGCGGGATCGGTGAAGAGCGCGGGGCTTTGGGACGACTGCTTGCTGTTGCTCTTTGGGCTTCCGTATGCTACTGGCATCTGTTCCGAGGTCATACGAGTAACAGCCTGGGCTTGGCCCGGCGTTGAGAGTGTAGGATCTGGTGCTCCCGAGCACTTTTGATGCAGTTGAGATGTTGGGATTCATGCGGCCTGCGGCGTGACAAGCCTCTGGGGCTGAGTGTGGAGTGGCTTTGGGTTTAAGGGTTGTGGGGATTTCTAGACCTTTCGGCTTCGTGTTCCTCGCAATGCAGATAGTTCGAGGCCTAAGAAATAACCAATATTCGTCCTTAGGGTTCCTTACTATAGGTATACCATAGAGGAGCCCACAGGCCTGTTCGAAGTCTTTATAAGGCCGCCCTACATTAACCCTCGCTCCTCGGAGCTTTCGCAGCTGGTTCCAGGAGGACACCTGCACAGGAGAGGGGTGGCTGGCCCCCGGAACCTAAAACCCAAGTCACACCTTGCGATCCTCACGGCTAACCCACTAGTTTCTAGGTGATCTTCGGTTTCGGTGCTGCAAACCCTAAACGCCTTGAGCCCATAAGCCCCAAGCCCTAAACCCTACGGCCGAGCCCCAAACCCCAAACCCAAAACCCTCCCAAAAGGCCTTCGTCCTCCGCCTCATCGGCTTCGCCAAGGATCTCGCTCAGGGACGCTACCGGCCCGATGTGGCCCTGAACCGAAATCGGATTTCAATTCAACGAATCGGTGGCTTGGGCTTGGGCTTAGGCCTCGGGTTCGGAATCGAAGCCGGATGGCAAAGCAACGACTCGACGGCTTTAGGGCTTCAGGGCTGCAGGGTTTTGGGGCTTGGGGTTTAGGAATATGCTGATTATGCTTCAGAGTTTAAGGTTCAGGGTCTTGACGGGCATATACATACGATTGCGGAGGGGCTTCTTACCGAGTCTTCACACCTGTAAGACCAGTTTTTGCACAAATGCAGTGGACTCAGCTCGATGCTTGTGCACTCCCTGAAGACTGGGAAAGATCCAGAGGAGGCTTACAGCAGCGGTTCGAGGTCCGTCACCCGCAGGCGCCTCCATCTTTGGCGCAGGCCTCTTCGGCGCTGGAAACCTGCCAGTTGCTGCTCAAGGGCGAGTAAAGCGCCTCGTTTCCTTCTTCGGTTGTTGTGGTTGACTGAGGTGTCCCGACTCTAGGGATACTGATGTTCCTGGATAGTTGGGCCTTGAAGGGTCGGGGAGAAGATCGTTGGGGCATCCGGCTTTCAAGGCTATACATGTACTTCGGCTGTAGAATCTATCTGGGCATTGGGTGAATAAGGTCAAGGCTTTGAGGTCTCTCTGAAGGCTTCAGGGTACATGGAGGCGCTGGAGCCCTTGACATTCGTACTTCTCCGGGGATCCGGCATCGGATTAAACGCACAAGCAACACAAGAACATAAACCTAATTAACCCCTACGGTGCACCCAAAAAAACTGACACCAAACCTAAAGACCCTGACAAACCCCCAAACCAGACATTCAACCCCTGGAACCGGTTTTAATCTCAAAGGCCCTTAAACCCAACACCGACATCTGCGCCAAGCCACCTTGTCGACTCTGCCTCGTCCATGTCTAGCCAGTCTTCGCCAGGCCTGCGCTTTGGCTTTAAATGGGCTGTTGCAGGGTTTTTCTATGGCTTGCAGCGGTGTTGTAAGGTTTCATCCTGATGAAAACCTGAAGTAAAACCCGAACTCCTAGACCGCAGCCCTAAACCCTAAACCCCGAAACCCTGAACCCGTATTTACTAAACCCTACAAGCCCCTAAACCCTAAACCCCTAAACCATAAACCCCTGAACCGAACCCCTAAAACCCCAAAAATGTACCAAAAAGCCTGACCAAAGCTCGCCTGGCTCTCGGCTTCGAAGCGGCAAAGGGCTCCGGCGTGGGCGTGGGCTCTTCCTGAACCTCCTGAGCCTCCCGCGGCGCTTGAACGAGTTTTGCGCTTGGCTGGGTGAGGTCTTGGGTTCGGGAAATGGCTTTCTTGGAGTTGCTGGCCGCTCCGGCAAGGGGTTGTTGGAATCGCACTTGGAGCATTCTTGATTGGAGTTTGGGGGAGTCGGGAGGCTCGGCCTTCGGAAGCCAAAACCCAACGATTCGGAGCTCCATGCTAGGCTGATTTTTGGATTCAGGATTCGGATTTTGGTCTTAGGGTTTAGGGCTCACCCGAGGCCCTAGATTTGGGCTCGAAGCATGTTCTCAACTGATGCTTTTGGGTTTAGGGTATGAGGTTTGAGGGCGACCGACTAGCTCTTTGTAGGGGAAGTTGGCGGCCTTGAAAAGCTCTGTGTCTTCCTCGTCGTCGGAGCCGGGCATCGCGGCACCGTTGAGGAAGGCCTCTTTCGGCGATCCATCCCCTTGGCCCTTGGCCCTACCTACAGGCGCCAAGGTACCTTTCAACAGGTCATGCACTAGGTAGGAATCACCATCTATAGCCAGGAAAAAGATGGCGATGAGTTTGGGCACCCAACGATGCTCCAGTGTTGTTGCATGGACCATAAATAGCCGGTACAAAACCTATCAAATCTAAGCTAGAGTAAGCGCCGGAAGCTCGTGGCAGCGAGAGCCTTCAAGATAAGGGTGGCAGGCTTTCGCTTTCTGGCTGCGCGTCTCCCTGCCTCCAGCTGCTTGTTAGGCTTGCGCAAGGGCGCTTCTTCCTCGCCAGCCTGCCCCATGGAACCCAACATGTTTGCGTCTGGGGGCTGTGGGCTCGGCCTTTACGGCTTTATGGCTTTATGGCCCTGAGGGTTGCAGGCTTTAGGGCATGCGGGGCTTCAAGGTTTTCGGGTTTAGGAATCTTAAGATTTGAGACTTCCGGGCTTAGGATGTGCCCCCCCAAATGGACCTTCTCACACCTCACCTTCATAGGGTACAGTACCCGACATTACAGACTGCGACAGTGTATACTGCGGCCAAACATGGTGAGAGGGTTTCGGGTGTTGGGCACACAGGGTGTAGGGTTTAAGGACTTTAGGGATGTAGGACTTTCGGTTGGACTCTCATGCCCACAAACCTGGCGGCACCGAATTCTGCAGACAAGGTAAACCTAGCAAGAGCCTGAATATCCATGAAAGCCTTTCTCAACGACTCGGAAAAAACCTGCAACGATCTCTTGTCAACCGGTCGGCGAGCAACCGATGAAGCCTCTCGAGCATTACAACGGAACCTTTGCAGCGGCAATAAGATAAAAATGACGGTGCAACTTCCAACAACATTTTGAGCCATCCCGCAAGCCACTCACAACCTTGAACGGCGTCCACACAACATCATTAAAGACTCCCCAAGCTCAGCATCGTTGATGGAGGAACTGCGCAACCTTCGTGAATCTCGCCGTGATATGCCAGGCCCGAAGACCTAAGACTCTTAAGCCGAAGCCTCGAAACCCCGCCAAAACCCACCCGAAGCCAGAGCCTGGCCTGTGCCGGCTCCTCCTCCTCCTCCCAGGTCTCTCCAGGGAGCGGAGCGCTTTGGAGGAAGGCCTCTGGCTGAATCCAGGGCTTCTACTCTTCAGGATGTACGGTTTCCAGGCTTCGAAAACTCCGATCAGAAACTAACAAAATCCCACCGCAGACAGAAAGCCAAGAAGGTTGTGGTTCGGCGTGTAGGGTACAGGGTCTTGGAGCTTAAACTTACGACTGGTTTCTGGGAGTTCAAACTTTTCCCGCACGAAGCCGCGAAACCTTCACTTCAATGACCTAACCCCTATAAACCCTAGCCGCAGAGGAGCGAGGCCTCCAGCTCTTTCTTGGGCTCCATTTCCTCATCTTCAGCTGTGGCCTCTGGAAAGCGGAAGGCAGGACCGGTTCAGGGTTTACGGAGAAGTCGTGCTCGATTGATCTTTGGGATTTTCTGGTCCGGATTTTCTTCGAGCTTTCCATCTGTATAGACATTGGAGGCGCGAGAGTTTTACCTTGGCTGCAGGCAGGGTAGTACTGCACCATCAACCCAGCAGATGGGCCTCTGCAGTCGGCGCTGATGAAACGAGACCTGGTTCACTTTCAAGGCATGTCTTGGGTTATACTGTTCTACTCATGAATCGATACTTCCGCCCTGCCCTGCCCTGCGCGCCTGTGCCCCACTGCCACGGCGCCGAGCCTCAAGTTGGGAAGGAACTGAAGAAACCCAACCAAACAAAAAAAAACGGAAAGCCGCGACAGAACCCTTATCAAGCCTTGGCAGAACCACAGGAGGAGAAAAAAGAAACGCCCCTTTCGCTGGAACTGCTTTCAGTTGTCGAATGTAGACTGAAGCTTCATTAGGGTGTTTAAGCTTTGGGAACCGGATGTAAGATGTAGACTTTCGGTGCTAATTCCATCAACCACACTCGCGATACTAGTATCAGCATCAATAATGATGCCAAAACACCAGGCGCGAAACAAGGGCAGCACCAGCAGAGGAGCGCACGAGTACAGTGACTGCAAAGAACAGAAAGCAATAGCGGTGATAAAAACCCTAAACCCTAAACTCCCTAAACCCTATCGAATGAGGATAAACCGAGAACAGTCTTGGCCAACTTTGGACCAAGAAAACCTGACAGACTTCGTCGAGGGCCGTACAGACAAGAGCCATGGGAAACCCTAGCCCGAACAGAGCTCTAATGCAGGAAGCCTCAGGGCTCTTCAAGGGCTCTTCGAACCCGAAACCCAAACCCAGACCTCAATCCGACACCTCCGACTCCAAGCATTCAAACCTCCAAAAACTCTTAAACCCTAAACTGGCCCAAAACCCTAAACCCTAAAACTCTAAACTCCCAACACGGTACCGTCTTGAGCCGCCGACTTCGAGGCGGAACCACCTGGCCCGTGCCGGCCGGCGCCGCTGCGGCCTTGGGCGCCACGTGGCCGTTGCTCGGAGCCCCTTTGCCCTCTCCTCGGCTCAAGGCTCTTTGGGATCGAGTGGTACATGTACTACTAAAACCCTTTAATATACCAGAAGAACACTAATATATACCAGAATAACCACAATATAATAAAGCCCCAATATACCATGAATGTAGACTATAAGTTACTATACGTAGAGTTATAGACTATGACATAGGAGCTTTCAGATTGGCAGTGAAAGCTTAACGGAGGGAGTGGAGTCTGCGTCTGCGGTTTTCTGGGGCCGAAAGCATCTCACGAAACCTCTTGAAAAGTGTCCATCATCACTAACGGTGTGTCAAGCCATGCAGGGCCGCCTGAGCACGAAACTTTCTGTATGTTTCGACTAAGGCTTGGGGTGGCTTTGGGCTCAGAAGACGACGACGGCTGCCACTAGCACCACCGGCAGGAGGAAGTGCCGGGCAGCGGTGGGATACAGCAGTCGTTGTAGCTCGAAAACTGAATCATCCCAGTGGCCCATGTCTCCACCTGGGCCCTTCTCGCCCTTCATGAAGACGCTCCTCGGATGGCGCTGGGTATCGTGCCGTCTGCAGATTCGTCAACTGTAGCGTCCTGTAACCCCCTACCGTAAGCCCACAACGCTCTAAACCGTAACTCCCATTTCCAACCGCTACAACCCATCATGAACGGGCCCGGCATCGAGCTTTTGGGCATGGCACCTGTGAGGGTTGTCACTGTTTTTCAGAGAGGGCGCGTATTCGGTTCTGGGGCTGGTTTTGGTTTTTTGGGCTTTCGGGGGATCTTTCGGGGCCAGAGGGTTGGCGCTGTTGGGGGTTTCGGGGTTGAAGCCACTCTGGGCTTGCAACTGGGTGTCGAGCTGGCTTGGGGACCTTCTTGGCGTCCTGCTGAGTTTGGGAATGTCCTATGAAGACTCGAGGCCCTCGTCGGTGACCATCATTTGATTCGGGCTCGGGGCGCGTCTGGATTCTTGGCTGAAGGCTTCTTGAGGCACGACAGGTTCTTTCGGAATTGTTTCGGCTCCAGGCTACTGCGCACGCTGAAATATGCTTACGGAGTTTCTAGGTCACCGAGAACTGACCTACAAAAACACAGAAGGCGAAACCAAGACCCCGTACGGAATGGTCCCTCTTCCAGCCCTCATCCCTTGAGCCCCAATCCGTCTTAACCCTAAATCGTGTCTCTCTCCAAACCCGAATGCTTGAAACCCTACACACCCTAACTAAACCCTCTGATGCACTTCAAGCGCTTCGCATTTAGGGACTGCTTCATTCACATCCTCTGATAACGTCTAAACTTTTAAGCCCTGTAAGACGCACTGACTTTTAAAACCTAAGCCGCTTCGGCGCCCTAGTTGAAACCCTAACCCTGAGTCCTTACCATGGAGGGAGGGGCATCGCCTGCCTTGCGGCGGTGGCATCTCGCTGAAGAAGCCCTCGCAAAGACATGAGGTTTGTGGGCAAAAACACACCGCATTTGGGAGTTTGCCTTAGGGATGAATGGGCCTATAAAGGCTTAAGGTTGTGAGCATAGGAGCGCAACGTGATTCCAAATGCAAGGGCAAAAAGGTGCTTTGTCGGGGTTGCCCAACGCCAGATTCAGAGTCTTCCCACACAAATCTTTCTGCGCGGCTGGCTCGCTGGAGTGCCGTGCTTGGTATTGCCCGTCTGTGGCAAACGGCGAAGCAGGATTGCCAGTGGGACTCAGTCTGAGGACACTTGACACACACCCCATGCGCCCCCCCCCCTACACCCCAAAGCCCGAGAAATCTGAACTGCACAAAAACACGGTCTGAACAATTCTGGACTTTGCGCCCCTGCCTTGCCCTTCTTGTCCTTGCCTTTGCCGCCTTTGCCCTTGTCTTTGCCTTTCTCTTTGCCCTTTCCGAAGCCTCCGTAGCCTGCAAGGAAGCCGTTTCGGGACATATGTGGGAAGTTCTCTTACTTAGGGTCCCTTCTGGGGTACCATTTGACCAAAAAGGGGACCCTTTGGGCCAATCCTCGGAAAGACCGGCCGGCGCCTTAGAGGGAAAACCCTTTTGATCGCAGATATAAGCCGTGCCGTTTTGAGCCCGGACGCCGAGATCCCGAATCAAAACGCCTATGTAGATGTACCTACATCCTCAAAAGCCGCAAAAATCCAGCTGTAAAATCTGACCAGGCACCTTTGAAGCCGCCCTTCATTGGCCCAGTCACTTTCAAGGAGGCTTGGCCTTTCCCGGAAGGATATTGAAGCGTGTCGGGATCAGCTACTGTTCGGGGGTCGGAATCCGGGGCTGGGGAAATTCTCTTCACATTTAGAGGATTGCCCCGTTTGAAGAGTCTCCTCGGTACGGTGCCCAGTGTGTGGCGCGGGGATCGGCTTTGGGTTTCGGCAAAAACGTTGCCGTGTGCTGAAGCACTCACACGCACACCTCAGTCTGGCCGACGGGCCTTCCACATGACGAGTCATGTTTGCACTTGCACACCATCCCCGAACACCTCACCACCAAACCTCTCGTAGTAGGCCTGCTGATCCTGCGGCAGTTTTCTCCACTCTGCCCCACGAAATGCTGCGCCCCTACAGAGGTACACCTGCAAGAAAGCTTCCCTAAAGCCAACTGCAGCCTAGAAGGTACATACAAAGACCCAAAAGGCGGCTCCATGTCTCCCGACAGCCCTGAGCTGCACCACTTAAGGCCTGTAGCTTTGATGCTGCATCCATCGCGGATCAGCCGCTGCAGGATCTTGGCGATGTTGCTCACATCGTCCATGCCTCGAAAAAGAAGGGAGGTCTGGTGCTGCTCACAGAACTGCCGAAAGCTCTCGGCCCAACATGAAAACGGAAAGCTTCCAAAGAAGAGCGAGCCCCGCCCAAAGAAGCAATCGAAAGTTGCTTTCGGGATTAGACTCGTCCAGCCGTCCAAGTTCAGTCGTCACCCAATTTCGCATGTTCAACGCATAATTAGTTAAGGTCGCTGATAGAAACGAAGGAACGATTGGACATCAACTCGAAAATAGTATTTAGGGTGCACGCTTTGGAGCTCTGGATCACTTAACAGAACACACCCCCGCACCCCAACCCCCGGTAAACCCTAATAACTCTAATCTCTTGCCCCACAAACTTGGACTCTCTTCCAAGAGGACGAAAACCCAGGGCGCACGCCTAAGTGATGCTGTCCGGCCAGTGGCATCCTTCCGTGAGCATCAGCATGTTGCTGCTTTGGAGTTTAGAGTTCAAGGCTCAGGATTCAAGGAGCGACCGTTCGAGCCGAATTCCGGCTTCATGGTCTTTGCGGTGTGCGGAGGCGTTTGGATCTGGCGCTCGAGTTTTACGTGCTTTGGCTGGCTTCTTCCCAGCTGAAGCCATGTGACTATTCCAACCGATCGCCGACTCACTGAAGCCCCAACAGTACACCCTGAACGCCAAGATCCCAATGCTATAAGCCCCCAAGACTCGCAACTGCTCTCAAACACGTGTAGCCTCAGGCCCAGAATCATTCCATGTGGCCATTGGGGTATATGAAACTGAAATCAAAAAAGTATGATACTATAACTAGAATAAGGAACCCAACAAAATGTATGATAGTACAAAAATGATAAGGAACCCCATAATAGTTTTGGTAATTCTCTGGGCTCCTGAATAGTTCCAGAAACCCTCGGGGCTCAAGGAGGCTCATGGGTCCGCAAAGCTCTCTCCCAACTTAGGCCTTTTTTTACCGTTAGCGATGTGGGTTTTTCCAGGGCTTTATTATACTAGGAACTGAGGGTCTATAATCTATAGCACAGCAGCCATTTGGGGGAGGGGTCTAGATGCCGAATCCTGATAAAAGCCACCAATCACCTATCAGGCCTATGCCCCTGCTTCAACCCTCCCCCTGCCCTGCCCGAGCCTCAAGCGCTTGAGCATGCCACGCATTCCCGTCGGGGCATCGGCATCAGAGAGATTGAAGTGGTCTCTGAAAACCTCTTCAATGTGCCGGGCTGACAGATAGGCATATATACCCTTTCTGGGGTCAAGAGGATTCAGAAGGTATGCAGGGCCCAAGCGAGTCGATTTTCAGGTGATCTGTGCCCTCTTCTTGTAACGATCTGGTGTTCAGAGCCTGACTCAACAAGGCTTTTCCTCTGACTACCTTACCCCTGGCCTCTTTGATGTTCGTCCACCGCGAGAAAAGCAGCTGCTGCAAAGCGAAGTCGACTGCACCTGGATAAGGGTTTGGGGGTTGAGGGGTTATCAGGGTTTAGGTTTAGGGGGCTTTGGGGCTGTGGGTTTGAGTGTTATCAAGGTTTAGGGGCTGGGGTTTTGGGTTTAGCAGATGGAACTGCATATGTCGTACTGGGAAAATAGCCAGTGTTTCTACAATGGCTCTTGCAGGGACACCAGATCGACAAATACACGAAAGCCCAGTAACGGCAACGAGTCCAACGGTCCTGGCATCTTCCCGAAACGGAGCCCCCACGGCCTGGGAAAGGCTTGTTGCACTGCCTCGGAATGGCCGTCTTGACCTCAAACAAAAGGGAGTTTAGGGGTTCCTTCTAGGGCTTTATCGGGGCCTTCCAGGATCCTTAAAGACAGGTTTACTGCAAGGCTGTCGCACAGTAGGCTTTAGGGGTCTAGAGATTGGGGTTTGAGGGCCTGTGACTTTGGGGGCTAGGTTTATGGGTACGGGCACCGGACATGAAGCCTTCGGTTTTGGGCCACGTATGGCTTGAGGCTATGAAGGCTTTCGCAGCAAGAAAAGTACAAGACAGTCCTGCTAGGCTTCCCTAGTCTCGCCCTAATTAAACTGTTCCCCACCCTCCCAGGGCCCCAAAGCCCTTTTCCCTAGTTAGACCCAACTTCCAACCCTGAAACCGATGCGCCGACTGAGCCAGCACCAGCACTGAGCCCATTCAATCCCAATGCTAACACTCACTGAAAGCTTATTCCTCAAAGGCTAATCCATCCCCGCTTCAGAAACATTTCAACCAGGACACATCCCAATTCCCGCAGGTGACGAACAAGAAGGATTCCTTCCTGGCAGCTCAGGCATCTTGTCCGCAGACAGCGATCTTGGGCATCAAGCTTGCTGCAACATCGACACGCATTTGACAGCTGAGGTTTGCAATTTGGTACTCGTGGGGATCAGGTGATGCATTGAAACAGCAACGCGCTATAATGTCTAAAAGGCATTCTGTTCGGCTGCCTACGCCATGCCTTTTTACAAGATCCGAAATCACAGCTGGCACTCTTACGAAGCAATCCCAAAATAGGCAAGTGCTTCGCAGAACGATTTGGGTTGTTGCATGGGTGTTATGCTTGGGGCCAAGAGTTGGAAAACAGGATTGTCGTCCAGAGGCCTAGCGACCTAGCGTAGAAGGCAGCATTCCGACGGCGTATGGGCAGTTTTCTCAACTAGGGTCCCTTTAGGGCCCTTTTTTTGTGGGTGCCGTACTTTTTTGGGGACTTAGAACCGGACCATACTTTAGAACCCCGAAAAGTATTGGCAATTCTTTTGGCCAAAATAGTCAAAATAGTACGGTTCTGTGCTTCCGGGTGTTCGGAGCGTCAGATCCGAGGCTTCGAGTGGCTGGAAGCCGCCGAACACGAAACCACCGCCCTAGGAGCCCTCAGTTGCGAAGTTCTGAACCTAAACCCTAAGATTTCTTAGATATGCCGAAAAGATCCCTAAAGCATAATTAACAAAATATATCCCTCACATATCCCCGAGCATCCTAGACCCTGACAGAGACCCCATCCCCCCAAGCTTGGCCTCAGCTCTTCTTCGGGCGCCAGCCCGAGCAGATCTCGGAGCCACTGCTGCATGGCCTCCACCACCTCGAACCCACCAAGAACAGAGCGAGTAGGGTGATCTAGGGTTTTGGGTTTTGGGGCTTAGGGCTTGTAGGGTCTAGGGCTTAGGGGCTTGGGGCTTATAGGGTTTAGGGTTCAGGGGTTAGGTGTGTAGGGGTTTAGGATTTAGGGATGTCGTCATCATTGTCCTCTACCGGGCCTACCATAACTCCCATGGCTTTGCTGTGATCCCCAAGCGAGCATGTAATTACCCCCCAACTACCGCCTTCTGAACAGTAGGCGGCACATCACTCATCCTTGATGTCATGGTTCCAAGGAGGGTATAGTCTGGTCGTAGAAGCCTCTGATTACAGACCGCACCCGCACCTCCGGGAAGGGGATGGAGTTCGCGCCATCGTTGAAGCAGTTGACATGGAAGCGCTGCCGCATGGAGGCTGCCTCCCGATGGTCAACTCTACTATAGCATATTATCGTATCTCATCGTATGTTGTACTATATTCCGCTATAGCATAGTATATTATACGTAGTGTATTATTAATTTAAAGTATATGATTATGGTATTTGTAGTATATTGTGGTATATCATATTGGTCAACGGCTTCGGAAAGCTGCCTTTGTCCAGGCAAAGTGGTGCCTCAACACGGCAACGGGGCCAAACTCTGTCTCTTTAGCTTCAACTGTATCCCCAAACCCTGCAAAATAGTAGGAGGGACTCAAACAGAATGTTGTTGGATATTATGCCATAATAATTAGGATATTATGCCATAATAATTAGCATAAAAAAGGGCCTTAAGCCTTCTAGGTAGGATATTGTGCTATAACAAAATAGGGACTGTTAAAACTAGCGTTGCCAATTAACTCGTCCTCGAAGGCTCCCCGGGCTTCACGGAGCCTCACGCACCCAGAAGCCAGGTCTGGCGAAGCGATGGAATCTTCCGAGCTCCGTCCTGGCAGACTGTCGGGGATGTCTGGGGCTTCAAGCCCTAGACTTTTAAGTGACCTTTGAGGCCTGTGGAAGCTTTTAACTTAAGGGATTCAAAGCCAAGGAAGTTTTCCCTTCCTGCCTAGTTCCTGCGCAGTGTCTACGTTTTGGTCACACAATATATAGGGACCTTATTCATGAACGGAACAAACCAAGGCTTTGGGGTAGACAACGATATAACTACACCGGCAACACAATCAGCGAAGGGTACAATCATATTTACTCAGACCACCACAACACAACCAAAAACAGAGAGCCAACAATTTCCTGCCTTCAACCCAACAGGCCTGTGACCTCCAAGGGGTCAAGCGACTGCGCACCTATGTTTATGTAGGCCTTCAAAGAACTCATATGGCGGGTTTAGACCGGAAACCCCTAAACGCCAAAACGAACTTCAAGCCACAGCTTGAGGCCGAGCTTTGCGAGACGAACAGCTCGATAGGTCCGGTTTTGGTGTTTGGCAGCTACAGTTGCATTCAATGCCCTAGCAATACATATTGTAGATTAGCTTAAACGCCTAGTTCCTAGTTTGCTTTTTGGTTGAGGGCCCCTCACACTCTGCCCGCTGCAAGCTGTCCCGGTGGCTGGGCACATCGATAGCACGGGCACCTGGGTAGATTCGTGCATGCATACACTGACATACACATATAGGCTTGATTATATGTTTCCTTCGTCGTGCACCCTACTTTTGCTCCTTCGTTGTGCCGAAAACCGACAATCGATGCTCGGGAGGGAACTTCGATGATCTCGTCCTCGCCATCTCTGCCGTCCTTCATGCGTGGCAATCACACAAGAAACTGCTTATGTAGGATCCTTCATGGACTCCCCATGGTTATAGTTCGCAGAAGGTTCCTCATGTGGCTTGTGACAGGTTTTCCTGAATGCTGCTTACATACCTGATATTGAAGTGTCTGTGTACTCGCACGTTCCTCACTTCGGTGCCGTCAGGACCTGGCAGCTTTGGAGGCTCAGACTCTCGGGGCTTCCCCTCTTTGCCTCGGCTTTTCCGTTTTAAACCACATGGAGGAGCTGCTGCGAGTCGCTTGAGCCATGAACTCGTGCTCCGCTCGGTCCACGTTGTCTATCCGTCTATCGATCTGCCTGTCTGCCAGTCTGTCTATCTGCCCTTTCATTACTGTCGAACTTACACCTAATATGCAAACCTGCACGAACTCCGTATATACATGCGTAAACTGCTTTTCCAAGGCCCGAGCCTGGTTGCCGCCGCCCTCCAAGTCGAGCACCAGCAGGATCGGTCTGAACAGGAGAGCGGCGCTTTCCGAGAGCTCGGGCTTCAGGGAGTTTTTGATTCTAAGGGTCTCTTGGCCTCGGGCCTTTTTGGCTTGAGGGCTGTTTTTGGGGGGTTTGGGGGGCCTGAGTCTCTTTGGGAAGGATGCATTCGCCGTCTACGGCTACAAGACAGCACTTCGTCCCCAGGTGCAGTCTCTCGTCCCGCAAAAACAAGTTTCAACATGCAGCACTGTGAGTCCAACCTCAACGCGGCACCTAAATCGTTAAACGTCCGACTCCGAGTTGCGTAATTAAGACAATGAGCTTGTGCACACTAAACCGCAGTCCTGACGCCCTTCGCGCTAAACCCGGCTCCACCGAATTCCCAAACCCCTAAACCCTAAACCCAAACCCCTTAGGCAGGGGAGCCCTTAAAAAGTACGAATAAAAGGCACGAAGCCATCCCGCCGGGGCCGCGCACCTCTTCGCCTCCGTGGCCTGGGTTGTGGGGCCCGGGCCAGCGGCGATCCAGTCGGACTCCAGTCGAAGATGCGGCTTTTAGAAAGGGGCTTGGCTTTTTCGGCCCGGAATTGATGCTGCAAGGGTTTAGGGCCGTTTAGGGTTAGTAGGGCATATGAGGTTCAGGGGAGTTTCAAGGGCTTTGGCTTGGGGGATAAGGGGTTGTAAGAGAAGAAAAAGTTGAGTGAGCATGTCCAAGGCGTTTCAGGAGGGAGGAAGGGTTTAGACCTTATAGGGTTTTGTAGCGGGTTGTGTCATGCTTTATGATGGATTCAAGGCTGTGTTTGGGTTTCTGAGTTCAGGAGTCTTCTGGTGCTGTTCAAGACTTTGTTCCGGAGGCCTCCTAAACTCCTGAACCCCAAACCCTTAACCCTGGAAAGGACGTCCTTCGTTCAACTCTCAGCCACGCCTCGGCTTTCAGCGCTGCCTCGGTGCTGTGGAGCCTCACACAGCGGCAGCCGAGGTTTTGAACGTTCCAGAAAACACGAACAGAAGAAGCAGGGGGATTACAAGGGAGACACGATTTGGTGTTTGGTATGGCCTTACGAGGGTTCGGGTTTAGAGCTCAGGAAGCTACGACCAGTCACAAAACTCAGCCTCAGCTGCTGAAACCATCAGGAGACTTAGCATGTGGCCTTTAGAGACCAGTTCTGTTACATCTACACCCCTAGCAGCCCTAGCAGCTACAGAGCTGACTCAGGCTCGGGCCCGTTTCTGCAGGCCCCCGTTTCGTCTGCACGGTTGCGGCAGAAGCCCGCAGCATACCTCGCTTCAGGGTTCGGACCTTGCAGTTTTGGGCTTTGGAGCTCTGGACTTTAGTCCGTTTATAGGTTCTTGCAGATCTCGGTTTACGGACTGTACACTGTAGACCTTGGACACAGCCGGGGTCTCTTGGCCCTCAACCCAAACCCCATGCCGACTCTGTGAGTTGATAACTCTGAAGACCGTTTTGCGAGCTGAAGAGCTTCTCGTGGAGCAGTGGCTTAGCGTTTAAGGTCTAGGGTTTGAGGTTTAGGTTTTCGGGTTAAGGGTTTTGGATTGGGGTTTAGGGTGTCAGGCTTAGATGTTAGAACGTAGGTTCGCCGTCGGCTTAAGATCTCGCTGCAAGGCAGCGTATTCCCAATTGTCCCTCCTCTGAAACAACCCAAGACCAACAGAAACAGTCTTACATCTTACTATGTCTTCATCCCTGAACCCTAAACCCTAATCCTAGTATGGGTTGAGGCTTTGGTGTTTGGGGCTTCGGGCCTGGCCACTGATCACGATCCCCGGGTCCCTCTTAAGCTGAGGATGCCGCGGACTCGTAGGAAACAGAATACAATCTGGACACAATGAGCTGGAGAGACCGGAGATTCAATCAACACAAATGGGAGCGGTTGGTGGCTAATTGAGGCGGGAGCCGGACTCGCAGAGAATCAGATGACCAAATGACTTCAAGCAAGTGCGGAATTGTTGAAAAGCAAAATTTGAATAGAACATGTGATTGTAGACGTGCATGAACTAGTAAAGAAACGTGGTTTCCCAGTATACTCGCAATAAGAAAGGTACCGTTTTTGCAACTATTCAGCTTTTCATAGGCAACCCTGTGCAAAAGTGTAATTACTACGGGGGACCTGGGAAACCTACAGGAAACCATGAAACCAAAGGATCACAAGATGCTTCTCCCGGTTTGCAGGAAACGTCTGCTACATATCATGCAGCTGATCCTGCACCGCCGTGACGTCACCAGGTGACGAAAGATTCATCGCGCAGGATTGCAGCAGAATGCGCATTGCCAGATTAGATTTTATATTTGTTGGTGCCACCGCCGTCCTCCCCAAATAACGACAGATCCATCACTCCGGATTGCAGCAAATGACCGCTCAGAAGCTTGGATCTGCTGCACATCTAGCAGCTGCTTCTGTACTGCACTGCTGTCGCCACCAGATTCGTCGAGCCCCCAGGTGACGACAGATCCATCACTCCGGATTGCAGCAAATGCATGTGCAGTAGCTTGGATCTGCTGCACATCTCGCAGGGGCGGCGGGGAAAGCACGCGGCGCAACGTGACTGTAGCAAGACAAGGCACGGCATCACCCCAGGTGACGACAGATGCATCACCCAGGATTGCAGCAAATGCCTGCTCAGAAGCTTGGATCTGCTGCACATCTCGCAGCTGCTCCTGTACCGCACTGCTGTCGCCACCATAGTCGGCGCGCCCCCGGTGACGACAGATCCATCGCCCAGGATTGCAGCAAATGCATATGCAGCAGCTTGGATCTGCTGCACATCTCGCAGCTGCTCCTGTACCGCACTGCTGTCGCCACCCTGGTTGGCATCACCCCAGGTGACGACAGATCCATCACTCCGGATTGCAGCAAATGCACCTACACCATGAGAAGCTTGGACCTGCTGTACATCTCGCAGCTGCTCCTGTACCTTACTGCTGTCGCCACCCTCGTCGGCGCGCCCCCAGGTGACGACAGATCCATCGCCCAGGATTGCAGCAAATGCATATGCAGCAGCTTGGATCTGCTGCACATCTCGCAGCTGCTCCTGTACCGCACTGCTGTCGCCACCATTGTCGGCATCACCCCAGGTGACGACAGAACCATCACCCAGGATTGCAGCAAATGCACATGCAGCAGCTTGGATCTGCTGTACATCTC